GCAATTGTCAGCTTATTTAAAAAGAAGGCTTTTAGCCAGATAGAAAAGAAGACTGAAATGTTACTCCTATAATCTACTGGAGAACAAGTGAGCCAGCAACGTGAGATAGAGAGCATTTGCCAGCCAATTTGAAATAAGGCTTCTAGCCAGATAAAAAGAGGACTGGTTGCTACTATTAAGAAAATAATTAACTGGCTTGCTCCTAGTACAAATACTTGAAATGGAACTGGAAGTAAGTTTAAAATTGTTGAAGTTAAAAAGTAATAATTTTCAAAAATGTATAAATTAGAACAAAACTACTTTCCGTTCAGCTTCATGTTTCTTTCTATTCTAAATAATCATGTTTGTTTTAGGATAATTTGAAAAAGAAGTTAAGCTGCAATAATTTGAAGAAAGTAAAAAAGAAGTTAATGCTGCTACTATTTGAAGGAAGCAAAAGAAGTAGTTAAACTGTATCGAGAGGCTGACACCTTCTAACATGACAGGACTACTCCTGAGGAAGATTGTTGAAATGAGTATAAAACTGGGTGCTCATAGAGCTACTCCTGAGGACTACTCCTGAGGAAGATTGTTGAAATGAGTATAAAACCGGGTGCTCATAGCGTCTTTGTCAAGAGCGAAAGCCGTTTGCAAGTAATTCTGACAGGGCAGAGTGGCTGAAGGGGGAGTGGGCGAGGAAGAGGAGCAGACCCAGCACCCAGCCAATGGCACACAAGTACTCTTGAGTGGCGGCTGACGGGCCAATGGCTGAGGGAGTGCATGGAATCTTGCCACCCCAAAACAGGATTATGTATAAGGAGATATGTGGGAAATTATGAGTATTAAACGGCAATAGGCATTAAGCATGGGACCATTAACCTATGTTTATGGGAGTTAGAGTTCCCAGACCCCAGGAATAGACGCCAAGGCTAGATTACTAAAACAGTGATTTCTTTACTAAAGGTTTTTCAAGTATACATACAAAAATCAAGCATTCATACACGTGATACAGGGCTAAGAATACAGATTAGAAATGATAATTTGCATGAGCAGGAAATATCATTGGTTGGGTGATACTTTACCTGTCCGGCGCGATGCTTGGATTATGCAGTGAAAAATAACACAATAAGGGAAAAGGGACTGTGAGTTGACCAGCAGCATATGTGGCCTCATTCCAAAAAGGCCTAGATTTGGAACCAACAAGATAGGTTGGGGTTAGAAGAAGTAAAAGCAAGAGAGAGAACAATGGCACAAAGCTCTTCTTTTATATCCAAAAATGTGACCTGAGCCAGGAAATATTGACCAAACTCTGAATGGGGCATAAAGGGATTAATGGTTGGGCAATCACAGGTGATGGGAGAATGGGAAGAATGGGAAAGATAAAGGAGGAAAGGAAGAGAATTATTCAGGTTGCAGAACCAGTGCTTTGGATTAATGATCAGATGCTTGACAGCTGTGTTATCTTGATGGGTGGCAGGAAGACTTGATCGCTTGCTGTGTTGTCATCAGGCACATCCTTTTGTCTTAGGCTGGAGAGGAATATGTGCTTCTTTTGGTTATGTTAATACATGGAGGTGGGGGGGTAAAGCCTGTGTGATGGAGTCTGTGCAGGTGTCTGTGCAGGAACATCTTGTCCATTTTGCAGAGCATGGCTCCCCTCTGTGATCTGTTTCTCCTTGCATGGAAGTCAGGGCT